GTCTGACGGAGGGGCTTGGCGTGGTACACTCCGATGGAAGGCGTTTTATTGCCTTCCTCACAGACCCCTCCCCCTTCCCCTCATCGACCTTCACAGCTGCATCCGCCAAGGTTGCAATTGCCCCCGAGGTTTGATGCAGCTTCGCTCTCTTGCGACATCCTCTCTCGGCTCCACTCAGTCTGACCCGATTCACATCGGCACCAGACTGGTCAGCCTTGTCAGACTTCGTGTGTTCGCCATCGCTGTCTCCACCCGAAGTTTCTTTTTCAATACTGACATTTTTTAGATTGGTTCCGATTTTTGGTCCCACGAGAACCGCGGTTAAGCCGCGTTTTCACCTGGTGAATTCCCGCGATTGCCCAGAGCTTGGCTTGTCTCGGGAGGGTTACACTCAAGGCTACTCTCAGAGGTCGCCCAGGTTTCTGAGAGGCACCGTTAGCGACAGAGCTCCCCTTGTGCTACGCATCCTTAGGCACGGTATGGCCGAGGCTATGGCTTACGCCGCTCACACACATGGATTGGGTGGGTTCCTCTTAGCGACCGCGGGCGGCGGTAGTCCTTAAGACCCCCACCGCCCGCGACCGAGTTATAATTATACAAAATATATTTAAATTCAAATTTGATTCCCATTACAACTCCAAATTTCTTGATTAGAAATCAGTCTCAACTCAAGCCCTATCCCTAAATCAAACCCTTTTCCTTTATATTTGAGAAAAAGGTAAGAGTATAAAACTTTGCGTCGTCTAATAATTATAAAATCTAATAATTTTAGCTTTGATTTTAATGTGACAATTAAAACATGTCCTTTCGACGTTAAAATCTTCCTCCGGGCAGAGCAAACGCAAACGCAACAAATGGGAAAAATCCAAAAAATTGGAAGGTGGGTCCCACATGTGTTGACCGAACACAACCTAGGTCAACGTATGAACACGTGCCTTTCACTGCTTGCCCGGCAACAAAAAAAGGACTTCTTGTGGAGAATTATGACCGGTGATGAAAAGTACATTTTTTACGAGAATCCCACACGTAAAAAGTCCCGGGTAGATCCCGGACAATCCAGTACATCGACGCTGAAACAGAACATCCACTTAAAGAAGATTCTCTTGTGTATCTGGTGGGACATGAAGGGTTTAAAACGCTGGACGATGTGCGTAAATTCGTCGATGACTTTATCGCCTCGAAGCCTGCAAGTTTCTTTCGCAACGGCATTCGAATGTTACCTGAGAGGTGGCGCAAGGTCATAGAAAGCGATGGACAATATTTCCAAGATTAAGTTCGTTGTTCTCTTTTTTTCTATATGAAATAAATTTACTGAAAAATCTGTAAAAATTAAGTCACACACCTAATACAATCACTTGACGCCGTCTAAATTTATTTATGATATCGATAATCTGACTTAATTCACAGGGACGAGTCGTTCCCAAAAAAGGTCAGCAGCCGAATGATCAAAAAATCAAACCATTCAAGGAATTGAATACCACGCATTACTAATTGAGGTTATGTTGTTTCGAAATTCGGTGGCGCGTAACCGTCAAGACATTCAGGGCTGCCGGCGGCAGCTTCAATAAGGATGACATTTTATTTATACGCGGATAGGTTGAGTATCAGGGGGCTGTTCCACACTATCCCATTTCCATAGTAGTCCATGGTCTGGTGAGAATGAGATGGCACAATAGCCCAAAAACACAGTTGCCCACAAGTACATGTGCCCATTTGGCAGTATTGAACACGTACGTGAACTAATTGGGTCCAAGTCATAATGTGCACATCGGAAAGTGCACACGAGTTTTCTCCACACCATCATTCGGCAATGCAGTTTTCTGCACATATTGCAATCGGTACGGAAGCATTATGCACGTGAAGATTTGTACATGTCAGTTCGACACGTGGGCTTTGTGTACATGGTCCAACTCCTCTTCCGAGATGTCCACCACCTGATCGGGGACAATCGAATATTGCACCCCTAACTCCTCCGCTCCAGAGGATTACACACTCTAGTTTAGGAACGCATACGAATTACACATTGCGATAATTTTCAATTTTAAATTGCACACTGTGCAAATTCTCTTACGCCCCGGTAACGTGTGTAATTCATTACGTTTTATTTTTTTTTTTAAGCTCGAATGAAAATACAAACCTGTGATAAACTTTAAATCCCTTGAATTTTTGATCAAATCGTTGAGATCTGGATATCCAATTCTCCCATTTTATAGCGTTCAAATGTATTTTTTTATCAATTTTTCAAATGTAAATTATCATATTATTCATTTTCTTTTTTTTAAATTTCCATTCGCAGCATATTTGGCAAATATCTCTGGGAGGAGTGGGTTCATTGAAAAATTTCTCTCACACTCATTTATTCAATAAAAATATCTATGTCTCTTTTCTTTCATCAGTAAAATTTGAACATGCACAGAGTTCCTATGTGCTCATTGGTTTTCTAAACAAAAAACACGTCGAAAAACACTGCTTGAAGATGTTTTCAGTTGTCCAAGTTCTAGGAATATCTTCATTTTTATTTCAATAGCGAAGTGGTAAAACGTAATGAATGAAATGTGACATTTTTGTTCAATCCATTGACTATTTCGATTGTTCTTTTACATTTTACGACTCCATTACTGATTCATTCGTTTTAAAAATGTTCTCTTAATTTTCTCACAAACTCGAGGAGATGAAAAGCTCTTCAAGCAGTAATTTTTATCCAATATTATCCGGACTGTACTGTGAGATGTCTTTCAATCCGCTCCATTTTTCTTTGAAGGAAATCGCATCAAATTCAATAAAATTCGGTTTCGATTGTCGTGGCTAGTGGTCATCGTTCCATTTGTTTCCAAAACGCTCCGGGAAGTGGGCAAACTCGAAAGTGAACAGATAAACACATTGCTGTGGGGTAACGCTATAAAATGGGGGAACTGGATATCTAGGTCTCAACGATTTGATCAAAACTTCAAGGGATTTAAAGTTTATGACAGGTTTGTATTTTCATTCACAACTAAAAAAAAATAATAATAAAACATAATGAATTGCACACGTTACCGGGGCGTAAGAGAATTTGCACATTGTGCAATTTAAAATTTTAAATTACCGCCATGTGTAATTCTTGAGCGTTCCTAAACTAGAGTGTGCAATACTCTGGAGTGGAGGAGTTAGGGGTGCAATATTCGATTGTCCCCGATCAGGTGGTTGACATCTCGGAAGAGGAGTTGGACCGTGTGCGCAAAGACCACGTGCCGAACTGACATGTACAAATCTTCACGTGCATAATCCTTCCGTACCGATTGCAATATGAGCAGAAAACTGCATTGCCCAATGATGGTGTGGAGAAAACTCGTGTGCACTTTCCCATGTGCACATTATGTGGAAATGGGCAGGTACAATACTGCCGTCCCATTTCCATAGTAGCCCAGGAGACTTGCAGTCGGTCAAACAGTGTCAGTAGAGGAGGGGCTCAGTTATTTCTATTCACAATCGGTCACAATTATTATTGTCATTCTGCATTGAGAGATGGCAGCATTCATTCCATTCACGAATGGTCACTGATAGAAACTCATCCCTGGAGATTTATGGAACACGTTACATCTACGGTATAGCGTAGATGTGTGTAGATGTGCATTTTTGGGCATAAAAAACATGAAAAAGATCAAAATAAAGTGGAATAATAAGTGGAATTAATTGAGTTTTTTTGATGAAATTGAAGAAATTACTGCTAGTGTACTTAATGTCACTAGAACGTCGTGTGGAGTGGATTCCGCGAGATGGCGGCAGCGCCGAATTACCGAGTAGGTCGGTCAAATCAGCAGCACAGCAGCAGTCGCAGGCCAGCCGCCTGCCGAATGAGTCGACAGTGGGAAAGCATCAGCCGGTCTTTTAATTAATTTTATAATGATGATTCAAACAATTGATGTTTAATGTGTCATTCTCAGAGGACGCACGGAGGGGTGGGGTCGAATTTGTGGTTCTTTGATGAGGGTGCGAGGGGTGAGGGGAATTATTTTTCTGACCCTTAATCGCATTGAGGGAAGTCCTCGGGGGCGGGGGGAATTTTTTTTTACCTTTCTGACCCTAAATGGAATTGCTAAGCGTGCGAGGGGGGGGGGAATTTTCCCTGATCCTTCTGACCCTCAATTACATTGTGGTAAGTCCAAGGGGGGCTGGGTAATTTTCCCTGACCCTTCTAACCCTTAATTGCATTGCGGGAAGTCCACGGGGGGGGGGAATTTTTTTTGACCTTGCGCGCCCTAAATCGCATTGTGGGAAGTCCAAGCATGGGGGAAATTTTTTTTCCGACCCTTCTGACCCTAAATCGAATAGCAAAGAATCCGAGTGGGGGGGGAGGCTTTTTTTCTGACCCTCAGACCCCAAATCGGATTGTGGAGGATCCAAGGGGTGAGGGGAATTTTTTTTTGACCCTTGTGACCCTAAATTGAATAGTGATGGGTCCTCGGAGGGGGGGGGGTTGACCCTTCTGATCCGACATCGGATCGTGGAAGATCCAAGGGGAATTTTTTCTGACCCTTCTGACCCTAAATCGGATAGTTGTGGGTGCGATGGGCGGGGTGGGGAGAGGGGGGAATTTTGGGCTGTTTGTTGAGGATGCAAGGGGGAGGGGATTTTTTCCTGTCCCTTGTGACCCTTAATCGCATTGCGGGAAATCCAAGGGGGGAGGGGAATTTTTCCTGACCCTCCTCACCGTAAATCGGATTGTTATGGTTTTGATGGGGCGGGAGTTTTTTTTACCTTTCTGACCCTTAATCGCATTGTGGCAAGTCCAAGGGGAAGAGGAATTTTTTTTACCGTTGTGACTCTAAATCGGATAGTTGACGATGTGTTGGGGAGATTTTTTTTACTCTTCTGAACCTTAATCGTCTTGTAGGAAGTCCAGGGCGGAGGGAGGGGGGGAATATTTTTTCCGACCCTTGGGGCCCTAAATCAAATTGCGAAGGTCCGAGGGGCGGGGGGGGGGGCTTTTTTTCCCGACCCTTCAGGCCCCAAATCGGATTTCGGCGGATTCGAAGGGTGAGAGGAAGCTGCGAGATCGCTTTCGTAGTCTCGCGCCAGCGCCGACATCCCGCCGTGAAACGAAGCCAACCTTCGTCTTCAAGGACTTGGCAACGTGCTCTCATGTCTTCGTTCGGAATGACCAAGCACGCCGAGCCACCCTACTCTAATCCTTTCCGAATCATCAGCAGATATGAGAAGCATTTCAACGTCTTCTTTTGTTCCGGAGCTGGCTACGGGAACTATGAGAGCGTTCCCATCTCCATTGATCATCTGAACCAAGTACTGGACTGTATCAACTACTGTCTGGAGCAAGTACTGGGCCCTCCTCCAGATGATCAACAGCAGCAGCACCAGCAGCTTCAGACATCATCTGTTGCTCCAGCGGCTTCAGCAGGTCCATCATGTCCTGGTGGGACTCGCAAGAAAGTCTCCTTTAACCTACCGAGGAGACGGGGGAAGTAGCTGCTCATCATCAGGCCCTTCAAAGTCATGGGTTACTTGAACGCAAGTTTAAATGCCTGGATATTTGCTTGTCTCAAATTTTTTTTTTCTTTTTTCTCCGTACTAATTTTTTTTCTCAATTTATGTCAAGTTTTTTTTCTCTTCACGTCTATTTTTTTTTTCTTTTGTTGTATGATTCCAGTCCAGTTGTAGGACCAACTACCTAAAGAGGGGAGACCTGTAGCACTAGCTTTTATTCCGGTCGGCCAGTGCTCTCTTTTCTCCGCCAATACCTTTGGCATTGATGACTCGACGTCAACTTCTCTTTCGGTCTATCGGTAGATCCCGGCAGTGAATCCATGTGTTTATACATCTTTGTAGTTGTGCTGGACAATTCCGACAACTGCTCGGGGATTTTAAACCCTCAGTGTACTTTCGTGTCTCAACTAATAAACACACGTTTAAATACCCGAGCGATAAGGTCTTTTAAATCCTCAACCAACTAGCTAATAAATTTGTCAGCGATAAATGAGCTNCCCCCCCCCCCTTCATATCTCCCGAGTCTGTCCACTTCCTCAACCTCGAGTTAATTTTTCTGATCCAATACCTAATTGTTTTCTTTGTTATCCCGGTTTCATACTCCAGCATCTCCTGTGTGACATTCTTATTTTTGATATATAGAAAAATAAGTTGAAATAATTTTTTGATCCCAGATTTTTTGTTTTCAAACATGGAGTCACTGTAGATACTCATCGAAGTATCACACTGTCTCCTTTTCTTAGTTTTTGCTATGAAATTGGTGTTTACATCTGAAGAGCTCTCTCTTCTAATCGGTGTACATCAGCCTTCCACACACATTATAATGTGCGTGCGCCCTGACTGCACCGTATTGTCTGAGGAGCTCAACAATCCTTTGTTTATGTTTTGCTATATGATAGCACTCTTCCAATTTCATATATAAATCTTATTGTGTTCTCAAACCAAATAATAACCGTTGTTATATATTATATTCTGTCTCTCACTAAATTATCTTTAATTTTTGGTTGAAATTTTTTTTTTAGATTTTTTCTTCATTATTAATTTTTATTGTTTCCGACGGCAATAATATACAAAATCATGTTCGCGCTCACACAGGGGGTACAAATCTAGTCATAAAACCAGGCTCCCCTTTGAGGGACCTATTCTACCCTATTACCGCCATTTTTGGAAAAAAAACGGTTTGTGCTCATTTTCACGTAAGTCAGCAGAAAAATGGCCCAAAAATGGAGCAAAATTTCTTTTCAACCTTTGATAATTTAAAGCTCGTTAAAAACTATCTTTCTATGCTGGTGAAAAATTTCCTGCCAATGCGTTTTTTGAAAAAAAAAAGTGTCAAGTTAACTCCCCAGCAAGTCAACAGAAATAAGGAGTGGAATTGAATGTAATTCCATTTGAGATAATGTGAGAATTTCAAGCTCATTAGAAGCTCAATTTTCGTAATTTTTTTCAATTGAAAAACAATTTTTTTTCTTTTTTTTTACGGAAGTACGTATCAAAATTCTCGTAAAGAGTGTAGGGAGGATAGTTAGTAATGGGTAGTTTGAGATGGTTTGAGATGGTTGGAAGCGACCAGAATGACCCTAAGGTCATGAGGCCCGAATACTAGATATAGCCACAATACCAGATATAGCCACAATAACTATATGATTGGAACGCTCATGAGAGTCGAGCTGCCGGAATGGCTCAAAGGTGAAAGCATAAAATATGATCATAACGGTCAGACAGAAAACTAAAATACATGTTGATATTAGCTTTCGCGTATGTTAGCAGCAAAAGGGCTAGAAAATAAAAAAAATTGTGTTTCATTCTTGAATAATTTGAAGCTCATTACGAGCTTATTTTTTATGCTTGAAAAAAATTATCTGCCAATGCAGTTTTATTTCAAGTGTTTATGCCACCTTTTTCGCACATTGGCTGCAAAATTGCTGGAAAATTAACAGAACTAGCTTTTGAAAAATGAATAATTTGAAGCTGATTAAGAGCTCATTTCATACGTTGATGGAAAGTTTCCGGCTGATGTCCTTTTATTGAACAAAATGTTATGTTAACTTTTCTCAGCGGGAAAATAATTCAAAAATTCTATAAAAATCCAGTTTCAATATTGAATAATTTAGAGCTCATTAGAAGCTAATTTTATAATATTTGGTTGATTTTTTCATTAATGCTATCTTTGCTAATAAAAGAGCATGTGGGTTCTTCCTCCTCCGCAATTGGCAGAAAAATGACTTGAAAATGAACAAAATTTGTTCTTCCAGAGTGAAAGGTTCAAAGTTTATTAGGAGCTCATTTTTTATGCTCAGAAAAATGTACAGGCCAATGCAGTTTTTTTTTTAAAAGAGCTGTTTATGCTTGATTTTTCGCACATTGACTGTAAAACTAGAATGATAAATTAACAGAATTACATTTTGAAGGATGGGTAATTTGAAGCTCATTAAGAGTTCATTTTATACGCGGATAAAAAGTTTCCTGTCGATGTCTTTTTTTTAGAAAAAAATCTTAGTTGTTAACTTTTCTCAGCAGGAGAGTACTTCAAAAATTTAAACAAAATCGAGTTTCAACATCGAATAATTCAGAGCTCTTTAGGAGTTGATTTTTCATGCTCATAAAAATAAATCGGCTAATGCAGTTTTATTTTTAAAAAAAGTGTTTATGCTAGATTTTTAGCACAATGGCTGTAAAAATAGATAATAAACTAACAGAGTTACATTTTGAAGGATGGATAATTTGAAGCTCATTAAGTGCTCATTTTCTACGCTGATAGAACGTTTGCTGTCGATGTTTTTTTTAGAAAAAAAATCTTATGTTAACTTTTCTCAGCAGGAGAGTACTTTAAAAATAAAAATAAAAATGTAATTCCAACATTGAATTATTATCTAATTATTATCTATTTTTACAGCTAATGTGCGAAAAATCTAGCATTCAGACCTTTTAAAAAAAAACAAAAACTGCATTGGCCGGTACATTTTTGTGAGCATGAAACATGAGCTTCTACTGAACTTGGAACCTTTCACTCTTGAAGAATGAATTTTGTTCATTTTCAAGTCATTTTTCTGCTAGTTGCGTAGGACGAAGCACGCACACGCTCCTTTATTTGCAAAAATTGCATCTGTAGCAAACAGGCGTTCGTCTGTTTGCACGATTTATGGATTTTAATCTCTTCGACTTACTTCCTGCAAAGTGATTAGTCTTAGCTCACTTCACTCCGCAAACCACCATATTGGGCGTGATTCTTCACGCTTAGACTGCGTCCGAACCCACTGTCTCGCAAATTTTTGGAAAAATCTACTGGTCCAAAGCCTATCGATACTTTTCTTGGAAGGTTAGGGACGGATGACGGCGTTGGCACAAATTGTATTGAAAGGTATGGTTCGAAGACAGGAGCCAGCGAGGAATGTAATCCTTACGACTCCACAGGCGTGACTGATTATTAGGGCGTACTTTGCCTACGGAATGGAGTGGCCAGAAAATGCTGTGGAAGCATCCCCTGGCACACGTTCCTATCCGTGTACGTCTTGGAGGTGGTGAGCGATTGAATTTCGCCAAGACTGCAGTGAACATCCGGTGAGCAGTATGCAATCGCGACTGAATTTTAGCGAGCGAGTAGATTCAAATAAAATTCAAAATGAGTTCAAATATTCCCTTTCATTTCCGTACATAACACATCAATGAAAAAATCTACCAAATGGTATAAAATAAGCTCTTAATGAGCTTCAAATTATCCACTCTTCAAAGGTAAATCTTTTAATTTTTCAGCTATTTTCTAGCCAATGTGCGAAAAAGGAGGCTTAAACACATTTTAAAAAAAACTGCATTAGCCAATTTATTTTTGTGAGCATAAAAAATTAGCTCCTAATGAGCTCTAAATTATTCAATGTTGGAACTAGTTTTTTTTCAATTTTTAAAGTACTCTCCTGCTGAGAAAAGTTCACAACAGAAGATTTTTTTTTCTAAAAAAAGACATCGACAGCAAACGTTTCATCAGCGTAGAAAACGAGTTCTTAATGAGCTCCAAATTATCCGTCCTTCAAAATGTAATTCTGTTAATTTATTACCTATTTTTACAGCCAATGTGCGAAAAATCTAACATAATCAATCTGCCTCATACCATGAGGGACATAAAATTGTAATTTTCCCTTCAATGACTCCGATAGTTAATCAAATAAAACGACTCTGTGAATTTTTTCAGATTTTATGAAATATTTTTCAAGGCAGCACAGATTTTCAAAGTTTCTTACGATGATATACACGTGAAGGAGGCAATAAAGCATAAAATTATCATTATATTCGGCAACTATCCATATAATTATTATTATTTACCAGAAAATTCTTCTCAGAGTGCAGAAGAATATAAATAATATTCTTCCGATTTTTTCAAACCATTTGTTATTGAATTAAAAATTATGATTTTCGCTAGAAATGAGGATTTTTGAAGACGTTTTCTTTCGAGAATTCTGTCTAAGTTTTTTTCTTCTCGTATACCCTTTCGGGTCTTTACGATTTGTTCCCTTCCCACCCCCTTCAACCCCCGGTACCGCATTTGCCAAAGGAAGGGAAAACCTCATTCGAGGGAAAAACCTACCCTGGTACAGTTGTCCTTTTGACGGGACTACCGCTCGGCAGTGAAACTGTGAAATTAGAGCGCTATAAATTTTGACCGCCGGTGCCAGGAAGCGAACCCGGATCATTGGCATACGAGTCTAGCACTCTAACCGCATGGCCACTACCGTCGGTGAGAATTCTTTCTATTTTTCTAGATTGTAATCCAAAATTGACTATTTTTGATTTTTCATGACAAGGATTCCAACAAAGTTCGATTGATCGTCATATCTCTATTTGGAGGTTATTTTATTGGGATTTTCTAAAGAAAAGTATTGAAAACTAAAAATTAAATTTTTTACTGTGAATGTGAATTTAATAGCTTTCACAAAAGATAAAAATTGTTCAACTGAAAATAACATTTATAGATGACTCACGGACATTGCATAGTGATAAATTATAGCTCATTAATATTGT